GAAAAGCGCAAAGTTAAGAAAATTCGAGGAATACGTCAAAACAATGGCACAGTTTTCTCTAAACAACGTTTGCCTGACGACATTCAAGGCCAGAAGTATTTCTCGGTGTTTGGTACCTGTTTGGGCGTGGCCAGTATGATTCTGGCCAGTCTCTGTCGCTCCTCGTCGTCTCCGAGCGTGACCAGCTCCTCCCAGGGCTCTCCGTCCTGTACCGGCTGGCCGAGCAGCGAGCCGGGCTGGCGACGCATCAGCCGGAACGCCACCGTGTCTCCGAGCCGGGCCGGCGGGCGCGGCACCAGCCGCACCGGCGCACTGGTCCGGGTGCACCGTCTCCTCGCAGATGGGACACTTGCGGGCGGCCTGGTCGCTGAGCGCCAGGTAGTGCAGGGGCAGGCACAGCAGTAGGTGTGGCCGCAGCGGTGACGCGCGCCGCCACGGCGGTACAGACAGATCGGACACGTGGTCGGCTCGTCCTCCTGCAGCCAGACCTGCTCGACGATTGTCCAGTCGACCAGCCGGTCAGCGTCACCCAAACAGGCCGCGTAGTCGCCGTCGTCGCGCACCACCAGCTGACACCTGGACCGAGGACGACATAGACCGGTCAAACACTAGGGCAAGGAAGATACCACCGACTGACAACTAGCGTTGGTAAGACACCGACGTGACCAGACGTAAATACGAGCCAGACAATGGCGCAGCTGAGACCGGGCAGGGCCTACTAATGGCCGCCACCTTGAGACGGACAGCGTGGTTAGACTAATTCTCTGATGGTAGTTGGAGGGATATCGGTATATCGGCCACACCAGTTACTAAGAAATATCAACCACGTTGTTGCGTGTCGATGCCAAGTACAAACTAATTTCTTAACCCGCGCACCGACGGGGGGGGCGGATATCCGCCCCCTCCCCTGAGGTTTTTCGCGAATAGCGGGAAACCGCGGCGCGTAGCGCCGCGAAATTTGGTATGACTATAACCTCATCAATTTTACACATGATGTGCAAGTTTGAACCTCCTACCTTTTAAGGTCAGGTCACCAGGTCACTTTGAATGACCCAACCTCAAGTCACTTTTTGCAACTTTGTCACCGTGCCAGAGCTACAGTAGATGTCGGAGGCATTTGAAAGTCGCAGGATATTATTAGGTCATTAGTAGCTACAATTTGTATATCTCGGAATTTTGATATCGGTGACCTAAGGTCAGGTCAATTTCGCGACCTCCCCATTAAAGGGACTGTCCCACCTTAACATTAGAATTGAGTTGAGATAGCCATCTTGATGGGCGTTCTTTGAAAATCAGAGTCGTGAAAACCGTTTCTCCAGCAATTACTTCATCGCAAATAAATTCGTGTTTGATTTTGACATCTGTGCAAATAAGTGCCACAATGTATTGGTATTGGCACTTAAAACCTGTGACGTTTCCGCCTTTTCAGAGGGCTGTTCACGGACCTGTGTGCGGTCGGACCGCACACAGCCTCCAAGCTCCGCCCACTGCGTCCCTACGTCAGCCTTGCGTCACCGCACACAGCGACCGCTGTGGCCGGTCGGGACTGGCCACAGCGGACCGTCCACCGCACGCAGCCGTGACGTCAGGCCGCCTACCCATCCCCTACCCCCACGCCTGCTGGACGTACCGCACACACCGCACGCAGCAGTGTGCGGTGCCCGTGACACCCTCCGAAGTTTCTGTATCTGTCGACTTGTTTTTTATTGAAACCTTGAAAAATAACAACGCCTCTTGGAACAGCGCCCGCGGCGCCACGAGGGGAGAATTAAATTGATATGCCAAAATAATTCTAATAGTCTTCTAATTCTAGCAGTATTTTATTTTTGTATTTAAATATTTAAGAGGCCGTCCTACATGTGACTGAAGAATGCAAGAGCCATGAACTTATCAATGGCAGGTGTCAAGTTCAAGTGTGCAACTCACTGAAATTAATCATAGTATCAAAATCATAAATGATTTGCTCACTGCTGTTTCAACTCCATAATCAAGACATGCTCTGAGGAGTCCACAATCTATTGATGGTGACAAATAAGGAAGAGACAATGAATGTTCACCTTTTTATTTCTGAACATCCAAGACGACTAACCTTGAGCCGTTAAACATTGATAATACCCTGTTTGCTGAAGTGTGGGTGGCCTGAGGTCGACCATGTCTAGTAAAGAACTGTTGTTTGTGTAAACACCATGCAGAGGTATTTTGAAATAAATTTTAGTGATGTAATGCATCATTCTTTGAACTGAGTTGCTGATGGCGGATGAAAGCGGAAGTGCTGCACGTTGAATCAGAAATGCTCTGTTGCGCTTTTAAGCTTATGTTAGATTTTATAGATGGCTTAGTTTTCCTGCAGATTTCATCTTAAAGCTGTCAATAGTGTTTTACCTTTGTTTCCTGGGAGCAGATCCAGCTACTAACATGAGCATGGGACCAGGACTGGGCCTTGTATTGTATTGTATTGTATTACCTTCATGGACAATCCACGCGGGGCGTGGCGATTACAGTCCAGAGTCTGAGTCGGGCACAAAAAAAACATGCGGGGACAAGAAACACAGGCATACAGATTCAATCGCTGGACATTCGCTCTCTCTATATACAAACGGACGATTCAAGACAGCACACCGCACACGGATGTCGCACCTCCTTCCTCTGACACGGGTCATCGTCGGGCGGTCGCCATCGCCGGACAGACTGCAGCCTTGGCCGCACGGGCGAATGGGGCGGGGCGCTGTTCGATGACACCGGGAGGCAGACTGTTTAGTAGCGCCGCGGCCCGGTAGCCGAATCGTCGCTTGCCAGTCTCGAGCCGCGAGCGTGGAAGGTGGAAAAGGTGGTCCTGTCGAGTGGACCTCTCTCGCGCGTCACTGTTATTCATGAAGATGGCAGCTAGTGCTTCGGGCTCGCCGTTGCTTATTATTTTCTGCGCAGTTACCATGGTTTTAACATCGGCCATAGCTTTCGGAGGCATCCATCCGAGTGAATCGCGGTCGTGAATCCTTTGTACCACAGTCGCTGTGTGCTTGTCAAAACCTAGGTAATGTGCTTTGTTAGGCCATGCTGTGCATTTTTTAAACCTTTAGAGTACTTTGTGATCATTGACACATATTGAACCTGACAAACAGCAGCAAAATCACACCCCATCCTTACCTCTGTGCAGTGTCACCCAACAGACAACAGGGCTTCAAAACAGGCAGGTTCCGCATTCAAGTCGCTTCTTGCAACTATGTGACTAATGTTAGGACAATAGACGTGCTGCAAAGGGAAGGTGTGTTCTTTGTAGCTCTTGAAAAATGAAGTCATGCCTAAAATTCAGTTTAGAATATTACAATTACAAATAACTTGGATAAAAGTTGCAAAACATGAACTCTGACTGGTCAGTTGAAATATCTTGAGTCAGTGAACCACGCCTGGGCTGGAGGTGGTCAGTTCCCTGACTTGCGCAACCTCTGGCACCTCGGGCAGGAGCTGTGGGACTTGTACATGGACAAATTGAATAGACGCTAGCCTAGATTATGTCGTGGCTGCAGTCCAAGACGTGTTCACCAGTTGCCGTTGCTGCTGCTGCCTGCTGCTGCCCTGCGTGCCGGCTGGCAGCTCACTGCTGGACTGTTTGCGCGCCAGGCATCCTACTGGACGAGTGGGGTAGGTCGCAGATCTTTGAGAGTGAAATGTTTGGTCTAAATATAGCTTGAAACTCTTACAAATAATTTAATTAAAAGGCAAAATTTCAGAGGACTCCATTGGTGTCTCAGTGGTGACAATCAGAACTTGATCAGAACTGTTATCATGCTGAATGCTGAAACTGAGGATAGGGCTGAGCTGGTAGGCTAGAATTTAATATGCAGGCTTACAAGGTCCCCAGTTAATCCACAAATTTGTCAGACTTGCCTGTAGAAAATTCATGCAGATGAAATGTTTCTGGCAGATAGCCCTGAGGCAAAATGCTATTCAAGCTTGTTCCGCAGCTCGTTGCGTTCCACATGAGCCACTACATCAGAGTCACACAACTCTGCCAAATGTGCTGAAAGGCCACGATTTTTCCAATAAGTAGGTTATTTATTATTTTTCACAGACACAACAAAAATACAAATGCAGGTCACTACAATTCATTCTGCTTCAATTACAATTGCTGGAATGTGTTTTGCAGACTTATTATATTGAATCTTGAACAGACTATATTATTACTTTGCTCATGGGCCCAGGCCAGTACTGCAGAGTATGGCTCGCAGGTCGCCAAGGAGCACTGGCCTAAGTTCAAAATTTACACAAACCCTGCAAACTGAGCCAGAAAATTCACACCAAAGGGGGCTGAGAGAACACTTCGCACCCCGCTACACTAAATCTGCACCACACCAAACCAAATCCACACCGCACCACACTTAAATCCGCACCAGACGAAGGAGTCTGCACTGACAACATCTGGACAAAATTGCCATACTTTGCAGTCTGGCTCATGGCTATATCCATTGTGATTCTTAGGTCTGATTATTGAAGTTGAGCTCACTTCCACATCCATGTGCCCAAGACATTGTGGGCAATCAATATCTTGCTTTTGCTTATTAGGGAGCATTCTATAATCTTTTAAAAATGATAAGTAAGGCCTTGTTGATATTCTTTGCAGTTTGCGACCTTCTTCTTGACAAAGTTCAAGCTTCAATTTTCCAATTTTCATTTCAATCCTTTCCATGAACATTGAACATGTTTGTGTTACTTTGCATGTTACTAAAATCTAACCCCGCGTTCGATGTCTCTCAGACGACGAAGATTCTACGTCGTCCGGCCAATCACGTTCCATAGCCGCAGCCGAGCCCCCACTGACCTTGAACGGCCCCCACTTACCAAAAACTTTGCCCGATAAAAAAACAATCATATGACGTAATCGATCCAAAAGCTTTAAATTGGAATTTTTAAACAATTAGCCAACTATGGGCCGAAGTTTGCCAATTTCGTGTACAGGGGCCCCTAATCTATGTCTTGCAACACAAGAACAGTATATCAAAGCAATTTTTTGAAGGTGGGACAGTCCCTTTAAGTCAATGGGGGAAAAATCATTAATCAACTCCCTGTTTTTACCACTAAAACGGGTCGGAATGGCCCCATATACCATACATGACTTCATAAACGATCAACCTTCACTACCTTGAGGTCTGTTTTGCTGTTGGGCAGCTGTGAGGTCATGTGACGTCATCAAAGGTCACCAAAGGTTTTTGGCCAATAACTCCGTACAGGAACAAGATACAGACGCGTGGATGGTCTCATTGTGTTCAGCTCGTCAAGACGCATCGAATGACATACACGATGACCTCGAGGTCACGTGACCTGAGGTCAACCTTGACCTTGACCTTTCGAGGTCAACATATATATCATCGATGCGGATTGACGAGAGGATCACGATACGATGATGCCCTTAGTTGTTCCTATCTTGACTAATTCGAAAGTTATTCGAGAAAAACTCTCTCCATATCTAGCGCCGCCATTTTGACTTTTTCGACCCCTGTGACGTCATCTTTGACCTGACCTGAAAATGACCTTAGTAAAAATTGTAGATCTTGGCCGTGCGTATCCGATGCCGTTTACCGCTTGTCGCTATCTTGCTTCGTTCTCGAGATCTCAGGGGGGGGGGCGGTCATCCGCCCCCCCCCGTCGGTGCGAAGTTGGCGCAGACCCCCGTCGGTGCGCGGGTTAATGCGATGAGCCCTTTCAACATGAAGGAATGTGTGTGCGCTTTTAGAAGAAACTGCTGACGACCTCACTGTTCAGTTCATTGTTCGAAAGCGGCAATTGACACTATCACGTTATCGATCGATAGTCGGTGCTGCGCGAGCGTTTTTTTTTACGTAAGACTAGTACAAGGTCAAGTCTAGCCGAGAAATGTTTGTGGTGATATTATTTACTGCGATGTGAATCGTGGATGTTCGATCAGAGAAGAGCCGCGCTGTCCTATCTTTCAGTAGCCTTGGAAAGTCTTATGACCGAATCATCATTCTATTCGGATTTTCATTCTTTCATAACCAGGAACATTCTACTATAATAACCATTCTGAAAAAAAAACACTGAAAAACGATAATAAATCAGCATATCTACTAAACACCTTCCAACAACAGCGACAACACCACACTACGCCTCCAGTCTCTCCTCTCCCGAGCTCTTCCTCTCCCGTCTCACCTGGCCTGCAGGTACTGTTCCTTGACGTGTTTGGGTCGGAACACGCGGCTGGCGGCCCATTGCGGGCGCGGCTCGTGGTGCTGGTAGCCCCCGTAGCGCTGCTGGTGCCACTGGGAGCCGGAGTACCGCTCCGCGTGCGCGTCGCGCGCAGACTCACAACGGAAGTTGACCAAGTAGCTGACGTCCTGGAAGCCTTTCTTGCTGCCTCGGTTGATCGCAGAATTGGACTCCCGGGCGTCAGCTACCTGAACACACAGACGAAACCAAGCGTTAGACGTAACATCGGTAGCTAACTAGGTAGCAGGGAGTGGGAGGGGAGAGACTTGGACGACTAAGCCAAAATCAACCATTTACTGATTTTTATAGATATTTTGTCTGAATGAATGGTTGACTTCAGGACCTGGTGCCATGCTACGCGGTACTTAATGCGAATGACACCACGGACCCACGTCCCACACCCGACCTTGCCCGAGATTGGTTCACCGGAATAATTTATTTGAAAGTGAAACGTATCGCAGGTAGATGACGACACGGTCCTCCCGGGCCTAGCGTGACATTCTCTCGCCAGTTACCAGCTGGCTGAATCGTTAAGGAAGCGCGGACCAACGGCGTGGAGCGCTCCGGCCGCAACTCACTGCGACCGATTTATTAGATGGACGCCTTATCCACTAGACCATATAGGGGGTAAACAGGAGCACTATATCGCATTACTGGAATAATAATAAGAGCGTGCCGCACCTGTTCTCGATGACCGTATTCAGCGCCCGCAGCGGGCTGGGCGCGCTCCCGCGGCCGCTTGTCGGCCACCTGTCGGGAGCGCTGCGGCTGCGGCCTCCGTCCGACCGCCGCGCCGCCCGCCGCTCCTCCTCCGAAACCCGCCGGACGCCGACCGCCTCGACAGCCGCCGCCTCGACCATTGCCATTGTATTCTGCCGGCACAGCGGGACAGGTGATCATCATGTGGATGTTCAGGTTTGTCACCCCAGGGGTCATCTGGCCTGGGGTGACAAAATTAGCAAACATGTACCTACTGAATACTGATTGCACTACCAATACAAATAGGTAATCAGCTATGTGGTTTAAGAATCTAAAGTTAATTAGGGAGGACAGAACTCATACCTTGAAACCGTTCTCCTAAATGATCAAGTGTAGTACTAAAATAGGAAATTTGAAGTTGATTTCAGGAATCCCTAAATACTCTCCTCCTCTGAGAACCCTACCAGGTGAGAATACCAGGTTAGAATAAAGCTTTCCAGCAGACAGATAGGCCGGTATAGAAAAATGTTAAAAACAGAAGATGCAAAGTTCTTTTAAGTTAATTCTTCACCACCAAAATGCCAATTATGCCAGAGATAAAGTTCATGTCAGCAATCAGGTCAAAGATCAAAATTACAAGTTTGAGCATTATAAGCCTTTGCAAAAAACTATTTGCCAAAGTTCAGCCCAAACATATTTATAGACCAGCAACACAAAATATGATAGATCTGGAATCTCAAGGTCAAGGTCCGTGCAGGTAAATGTCAAGGTCATCCCAGACCAACCAACATCATCACACACTGCCTGCCTGCTGAATAGGATAGAAGGAATAACAAACTTTGCGATGATCAATTCAACATCAGAAATCAATGGTGAGCTACACATTGGTGATTCAGACCAAAAATATATTAGACTTAGGCAGGGCTAAGGTCATGACTAAGACTAGGTCAAATAGCCTCAAATTATTGGGAAAGTCTAAACATTGGGTGTTCAGAGTCAATTTTCCTGGTGAATTCTATTGAGCTACTTCTTTTTTAGAAAATAAAGGTAGCAAACAACTTACAGAAGACTAACCAAAGAATATTATGCAGTTTTTAGTCATATCTTATCTCAAACTGATAAGGTTGATGCTTGGCATATAATGCCTCAGCTTCTAAGGGCAGTTTTGTGAAAAGTGGTATATACCCAAACTCAAACTCCAAATAATTGCTTGCTCTGCTAAAACCTAAGCTGTAAAGTGACACCTCACATTTCACATTTATCTGGAATCATGCATGCACATTGAGGAATCGGTTTAGCTGTGGAGGGCTCAAACTCCCAAAAATCCTTACCCAGACTCTGCTTAGATTTCGGATCAGGATTACATTTTGTCAGCACAGATGCTTTGCTGACATTCTTTTTCTCCATGTTTGAGTCTTCTATTGGCATCAATGAACAGAAGATAGAATGAAGCGTTGCACACGCATGCAGGCGCGTCGTTTCCTCTCTGAGTTAGCTTCATTTTAGCAAGCCATATTTGCGACGATCGGTATAAAAAAGGATGAGCAATGCTCTTCGAACGATGACTGACTAATATCAGTGCTTGACGGGCGAATACAAGTACAACTCTTGGGGGAGTTATCCACCCAAGAGTAATTTACTTTGGGATGTAGTAACCAAGGCTTGCGTGGCGATGCCACGCCAAAAAAATACAATTTTCCCCGAATGTCTTCACTCAGCACCCAGCCGAAATTAATGGCTGCCGCTTCATATTATACCAAATTGTTGCGCATTAATCATTCTAGAAACACAACTAAACGGGGAAACTTTTTTCCAAAATGATTTATTTTCTCCCTAATAGTTATCAAATTTGTTATTGTAAATAATAACTTTCTAAAAGTGATTGTGAATACTTCATATAAGATGCACAGAGGCACTAAATAAAAGCAAATTTACACAAATCTAGAAGTAGAAAATAATAAAACTAGGAAAACTAGTTTCTTTTCCCAGTACTTTTGTAAACGTTTTACGTAAAACAGAAAATAAATGTATTTCGCATGCTTCCTTTGGTTTATTGACAAATTATTTAATTGAAAAATTTTCAGGTATAATTCCCAGAAAATTGTGGCTTTAAAGTAGATTGTGATCAAAAAGATATTTCGTACCTTGAATGTTTCAAATGCTGCGCGGGATTGTTATTATCTGGCGGCGGCGGCGCTCCGAAGAATTTGAATCCACAAAATGCTACTAGAACTAGACGAAAGTCAGCATATAACTTTTCTTTGGGTGCCAAGTCATTGTGGCATCGCAGGGAATGAGCTGGCAGACACCCTCGCTAAGGAAGGAGCAATGAGAGCAGACCCTAGTGGGGTGCCTCTCTCGATCGGGGACGTCTGCCACAAACTCCGAACAAAATTTAATACTTACCTACAAAACAAATGGAATCAAACCCACTCTCCTCATTTATATGCGATCAAGCAAAATCTTACATCCTGGACAACTTGCAACCAGCCAAATAGGATTCGCGAGGTTACACTGGCAAGGCTACGATGCGGACATACTCGTTTCACCCACTGTCATCTTTTCGAAAGGACGGACCCACCAATGTGCCAAACATGCAACACACGCATTACGGTTGAACACATTCTAATCGGATGCACAGTCCTCCGCAACGAACGAAAACATATCAACAACTACCTTACAAAATATCGCCTCAGAAACGATCTTCCGACTCTTCTCGGAGATGATCCAGCACTAACTGATCTAGTACTTGATTTTGTCTTAAACTCACCTTATTCCGACAAACTGTAAAGTAAGCACCATTACTTGGCCTTAGGCATACCGCATTACAAAGAATATATAGTCGCCGAACGAATGCGAAAAGCGTTTTTTTTTTCATCCTTCTCGCTATCATCGCAAGGAACTGTCCACATACTCTGGGGTTGTCCCTTCACCCACTGCACAACGACGAGCAGCGGCCAAGGATTCTTCAGTCACGGACCCGGCCGCTGAACAGCGGCAGCGGCCGGGTTTGGGCGACCACAGGCCCGGGTACAACAATCGGCCCTCAACAGCGGCAGCGACATATCCTCCACTCTTCAAACCTTTCCTATCATCCAACTTTTATCGTAACATCGTAACCCTACCAATTACCATTCACAAACTTCCTCCTTCCCTCCCCTCACAAACATCAATTTAACGGTAAGTCTCACTGTCATTTATGTATCTTAACGTAAATTCATGGGTTTTTCCCCATATTCATGGCATAGTACATGGATATGGGTTTTCCCATGTTGTCTTGCAGTAAAAGTGGCCACCGGTCTTAGTTAGGACGGCCGGTTTCTTTTGCGCGGCGTAGTTAGGTCGCCGCCCTCCTCGCGAGGCCAGTAACGTAAGTTAGGGCCACTAAAAAAAAAAAAAAAAAAAAAAAAAAAAAAGAAAATCGGATGTAAAGTATAGGTGCATTTGTAATTTCCGCGATAATATCAATCGTGTAATTCAAGCTGACGGTGCGAGGTGAGTTTCACTTTAATGATTACTCGTCTTAGTCGTTACGTGCTGCCTTAACTCAACCTCAACTTCTGTCGGATCCAGTAAGCTTCACTTCAGGCAGTCTGCTCTGCTCCGCTGCGCTCGATTTTTCCATTTCAAGTTCAATTTTAAGAATTAACGTGCTTTTATATGTATATATATATATATATATATATATATATATATATATATATATATATATATATGTTTAGAAGACATTTCGGGTGAAAAGTAGACTGCGGACTGTGAGCAGTCTTTGACATTGACAATGACTACTACATAATAACAGGCTCGACTCAGGTGTCGCTTGAAAATGAACTGGATATTTGGACATTTCAATTTATGCCAAAACAGGGCCCTTTTCAAGTGTGTGCGGGCGCAGCAGCTCCTGATATAAAAAAGCGAGGCTTAGCTGGAGGTCAATCAGGCGACACACAGATGGCAAGAACTGCTGTCTGTTTGTGGCCTGATCAGTAGGCGGAACTATGGTCAAGCGTACCCATTTTCGGGAACGCATTTTCGTTCCCATGTTTGGGAACGATAAACCCAAATATGGGAACGCCATGTAGGCATTATTTAAAACAAGAAAAAGAACCGTTAAATGACGTCCAAAAAATATAAAACGATCGTGAACCGCCTGATATTTGTCTCAATATTGTTGGGAAAGAGTTTGATATTGTAAGGCCCATCGTAGTTTCGAATCGTTCCCCTATTTGTAAAGCAGTCCATCATCCGGGCCGCGAGCCCAAATTTGGGAACGCTCTCGTACACTGGCGCTGCAAGCGTTCCTTATTATGGGAACGGCGTACCCAAAATTGGGAACGATTTCACCGACGCCTTTCAGGGGCTCTTTTCATTAACAAGCATCACGTCCAACGCCGCAAATTATTATTAACGCAACAATCATCAGATGACCTTTCCGGCAAGACCGTCGCATGTTTCGCCCGGTCTTCTGCGCTTTTATTCCCGTCGATCTCGCAGCGGGCACGCCCCCCTCTGCTGGATTACGTAATTCACAACGCTCAGCGATGTTCAACAAGGTCTTCCATACCTATATCCACCGTCCGCGCTGAGGGTGGAGACGTGTCAAGCACCTGTCTGTTTATCACCGATAGTTGACGAGTACAAGGAAGTATCCAAAAATGGGAACGCTGAATATGTTACACCCTCAAAACACCTAGTCCCAATGAAAATCTAGTTTTTTCCTTTCTTGATGAGTGTAAGTGGCAAAAGGCCTGGTAGGATGGGCACGAGGAATTATCGAAATCAGCATAAAAATTATAAATAAACCACACAGAGCGAGCTATATAAGAGAAATTCCCCCAAAACGATCACGCTTAGAAACACGGAAGACAAAAACCACGCTCATGACGCTCCTTATAAAACAACTCTAAACAGCTAGCATCCAAATAAAATATGTCTTTCCGGGATGATAAAATACAGCTGGATAATTTTCAACCGCTTAAACTGAGTTTACAACAGTAGCTCGGTAAATTCACTCACGTTCCACGCGGTCGTCCGCCCCGACACAAAAGTCAACAATATTACCTCGGGACCGTCCGCGTCTTCGCTTGCATTTGTCAGCATCTGGTGTCGATAGTATGAAAGTTCATAACCAGGCGAAAATTATTATACTTTACCTCAAACTAAAAAATGCTTCATTTTCCTTAAAATTGCATGCTAAATGTCGTATAACCCATATTTCCACCATTCTGTCATTTTCAAAAAATCATTAAAAATATCATTCCACGGTCAATTTCCTTGTTCCACGGTCAGATTAAAGATAACTTTACGGAGATTTAGTAGATACTTAAATCAGCGTGCACTTTTTTGAGACTTGATGCACTTTTGAGTTTTAGTGGGAGAACGGCCGAAAAATTGCCTTCCGTTCTCATAAATGGGAACGCCCGTTCCCATATTTGGGAACTCCGTTCCCAAAAATGGGAACGTTCCTATATTTGGGTACTCATGACCATAGTTCCGCCTACTGTGATGGGCTGCCAGCTAAGTTAATTCTTCATTGTTTCTTCTTCATAAATTAAATCTTCATTTGAAGCCCCCGGCCCTGCCTTTTTACTGCGGGAACTGCAGCGGCCATGGACACTTGAACAGGGTCCAGGCTTGTCCTAGAGTATGTTTAGGATTTTTAAGTCACTGGGTCTAGTATTCTCATTATCATCCAGTAACATGTCCAATTGAGAATGCAACATTGGGTGCTACCACAGTGGCAGCATCCAAGTGTGTTAACTGGCTATTGGCCACAGAATAACCACTGCAGTCAATGAGCCAGTAAGCCCTCATAAACCTTACCTTACCTTACCTTACTGTTGGCGGGGCTTTGGGAGGCCAGAGGCCAAAACATGAAACAAATGAACAATAAAACAGGCTAGGTTAAGGAGCAAGGATGACTTTGAACAGGAGGATATTTATCATCTATTACTATTACTTGTATGCAGAAATGGTATTTTCTAATGCTCGATTGTGTCTGCTCTGTGTTCAACTACCACTGGTTCAGTCTTTTGGTCCTTATGCTCTTTGCCCTCTTGTCCAGAGTTAGACAAAGAAGTCTCTGGGCTGTGCATCATTTTCAGTTAGAGTATGGCAAAACATGTACCCACATCTCTGGCTGTGTTGAAGTCTGTAGTGCAGTCAGCATAAATCCAGATCAACATGCCCTCGACATAACGGACAGCTCAAATTTCACAACATAATGTCTCTGCCAAGTGCCAAGGCCTTAACATTACCTATTGTGCTTACTGCTTTGCTGAGCATTCACCAGTAGAAGCAGACGAATGAGTCTTGGTCGGTACGTTCTCGTTGCTGAACCCACCCATCTTTCTAGGGTCCATTATTGAAGGAGGACCGGTACAGCCTGTGACAAGGTCGGGGCAGGGCGAGACCCGCTTGATCACTGGGCCTTGAGTAACATATCCCACAAAGCTCAGTCGTCTGGAGCTCCCGACCTTTGATTGCCGTTGTCGTCGGCCAGGGTGCAAAGTGTATTGGCTATCGCAATTGTACTAGATATCGTAATATATCCTAGATTCCTGTCGTTTTCCAGTGCAGTCTAATATCACCATTATCTATAAACTTAGTGCCGGTTTCATCGGCTAAATCAAACATGCTTATAATCAAATTGCAAAGGAAATAAAAACGTAAGGAAACCCACTCATTCAAAAATATCAGGGATATTATTGTATTTGTTGTGTTCTTTTTGTTGTCATGCAATG